GAAATCTGAAATTGATCCAGGCTTTTCCATATGTTCTTCCCACTATACCCCCTCCCCCAAAATCAGATAGCTAACAATGTCTTTATGACACCTTCTCACATGAAGTCCAGCAGGGGTATTTAGGGAATATATGGATGAAGGCATTTGGTCAAAAAGATCAAAAGAAATCCTATCACGGTACAGCTGGACAAGGCCCCAAAGCATTGGCCCCTTCGCTCACTGACTGCAGAGGGTAGTAGGAATGACCGACGAGGGTGGATCTGAAAACTGGGGCCATTCTTTACTAGAGGCAGTAGAGGTACAGCATGTACAGATGTACAGCACATACAGAGGTACGGCAGTAGAGGTAGGCCTTTTTCTCACAAATAATTTTCTGGATCTCTGATAAGTATTAAATATTTAATGAATAAATAAAAACAGCAATGATTACATATACTCAGCCCAACTTTGTCTGTGGTGAGCTGCAACAAAAATCTAACCCTGACCTTCCTGGTTATTACAAGAATTGAACATTTTGCCTACATGAATGGTGAAATCCTGTAGCTTTAAAAAAAAAACTTGGGAACAAACACCTTTAAATGTAAATACAAGAGTACACAAAAGGAGGTTTAGAGTTGTTCACATGGAAAATAATACAAAATCAACAAATAATAGTACAAGAATAAACTGTGTTTTACTGTACTCACAAATGTAAGCCTACTTCTGCCCATCCCTGTATGTAATGCAGGAAACAGAATCGTTGCTATGAGAAATCATCAACTGGGAAAGTCAGAAAGGATTCATAGCCAAAATGTAATATGTGTGCTGTTCTGCATGAGTGGTATAATGCTGTCACTTTTTTTACTGAGGTGTTTTACTGACACTGCTCTTTTGATCCCATGCAAGACAGGGACCTGTGATCTCAGGAAGGAGATGCTCACTAAATATTTGTTGAATGGATAAGGCCTGGGTGGGCAAAATCATTGATCCCCGTCAGGGATTCTGCACATTAAACACCTATCTGTGTGTCTTCAAAGGCACTCTGGGTCTGCTTTTCCTCGGAATGATTCCATTTGGCCTGGGTGGCGAGGCCATATCACAGCTGGGTGTAGTGATAACTTCATTCAGCTCACTTGCTGCACAAGGGACGTAAAAATGTGCTTTTGTGCCATTGTAATTTCCTGGCTTCTAGAAGGAGCCATGGCTCCACTATCATCAGGCTTGCAGTTTCTCTTCTAGTGCTTAGCCCTGAATGCTTACTTGGAAAATTAATAGAAGGAATAACCGGACTGCTGGAGACAATGGCAGGGGATAGGACTATGGAAAATAGAAGCATTGTTCCAGAAGACAGACCCAGGTCATTGGGCTCAGAACAAGGAGGTACTTCCTAGAACCGTATTGCAGGGCACACGCTGCCTTCCCATCCCTGGAAGATGCAAACTGCGGCTGGACAAACAACCTGTGCTACAGAACTGACAACCATATCAGGTAGGAAACAAAAGAAGTGATCTTTAAGGTCTCTTCCAATTCTGTTTTTGATTTTCCCATGTCCTTGTAGATTCTGAAGAATCAAAAGATGCTGTGAATGGTGCTTCCTGTCCCTATAATTTCCTTGGTCACTGCAGATTCAAGACACCTGATGGCAGGCACAGCCCAACAGCAGCAGTTGTCCCTCCTTGTCACTGTGGTACCAGTCATCTCACTGTCCATCCTGCTGATGCCTCAAATACCCAAGCAAAAGGTCAAGGATGTTGCAGCAAAGGCTGCAAGAGTAAGCAGGACACCTTGGTGGTCCCAGTAATGCTATGAGATGTGCATGCAACGTGGCATCCCTCTCATGACTCTGCAACTCTAAAACCCATGTCAGCTATGACTTCCTCCATGAGGATTTCTCGAAGATCTTCCTGGTTGAAATTTGTGGATGCTCTCTCAGAACGCTGAGAAGGTACTTAACACCTCCTTTAAAGTACAATACCTCTCCCGTTCTGTATTGTCCTGCAGTTATTTGTGTGCAGGTCTTATCTCCTCTACTAGGATCTTATAAGGCAGGATCCATGACAGCCTTGGGAAAGCCAGGGTAAATCAACTCTCCATCTGAGTGCTAACGATTTGGTTGAAGCAATTGGATAAATGCACCAAGGATGGATTTTGGAGATAGCATCTTTCATTAAAGATTAATTCATACGTGTCAAGCATGCACAGCATACCTGCTGTGTGTTGTACACTGAGTTACACTCTTGCGAAGAGGATAAGAATTAGATAAAGATTTTACCTTCTCACCATAATAATGAAAGCCGTCACCTCCATCAGCATCAACTCAGGGGTGAAACTTGGAGTCAGGATGTGTCTGGTCAAAGAGATATAACTCTGTGACTGGTCACCTGAAGAGCGCTAAATTCCTATTTCATACCACTTGACTTTGGAAGCTCAGACACATATAAGGATATGATGGCCTTATTTGAGACTCTAGAGATCGGGCAGGGACAGGCTGCATGAGGTGTCATTGTCCCTGCCCATGAGGGGCTGGGAGGGGGTTGGCACTAGAGCTGAGGATAAGCTGTATGAGGAAAAGCAGGCAGTGTGCCTTATGTTACAGAGGACACGAACATGAGCATGGAGCCAGCCTGCATTGGTCAGAATCCCAGCTTGGCCATTCACTCGCTGTGTGACCTTGGGTAGTTACCTAACCTCTCTGTGTCTGTTTCCTCATTTGTAAAATGGGAATAATGATACTATCTTCCTTATGTAGTTGTGGTGAGGACTTAAAGACTTAATGATGTAGGTAAAGTGCCCAAAACAGTGTTAGTGGAGTTGGAGTGAGTTGAGTTGTTATGACTGTCCGTATTGAGCATCCCCCTGATTGAGAGTAAGTCAGGACCCAGACCAGACAACTTCATTCATACCAGCAAGGTCAGTCCTTTCACTATAGAGACACAAAACCAACCTCTCGGCCAATGAATGCATTTTCACAGGCTTCCAGTCCCAGAGAGAGGTTTTTTTAGGCATTTGAGTATAATATTCCCAATGGAGCAGGAAATGCAGAGATCTTCCTCCTAGAAATACTTTCTTGGTTTGGGACATCAACATAAGCCCACTTATCCGTAGGAGACCCCATCAGTGACACCCTCCTCTCCCAAACGTCTGCAGAACTCTGCCAGTCTTCCACTACTTCTGCATCAGCTCTAGCCCTTGTTTGCCCACTGAGCCCCTGCATTAGCCTTCTGACAGCCAGTCATCTCCATTCCCTGCTGATTCCATGAGCCTCATACAACTCAGACCTTAGTATGTCATTTCTCTGCTTAACTATGACTGATAGGGAAATCCAAATGAAAACAAGAATGATATGGAGTTGTCCCACCAAATGGATTATGATTAAACTAAAAGTTAGATAATATTAAGTACTTTTCAAGGGTTTGGGGAAGGAGAGTCTCACACATTCTTGGTGGGAGTGTCGATTAGTATGGTTGCTTTGGAGAGCCTCAAGGCAGTGTGGACTAAAATTAAAAACTCACACACCCACTGCTCCAGGCTCCAAGTCTACCCAGAAGTACTTTCCTGTGAGAATGGAGAAGCATATCAAGGACATTCATTGAGCCTTGTGTGGAATGGAGAAAAATATTAAAGCCTAAATGTCCATCAAAAAGAAATGGCTAATCTCATTTATTCATGTTCTGGAGTGCTATGCAGTATTGAAAGCATAAACTAAGTCTAGATTTACTAACAGAAAAATGTTATATAACTATAGATTATAGGATGGAGTATATTCACCCAAAATTTGTATGTGTAAGTTCTAACCCCCAGGACCTCAAACTGTCTATGTTTGAATATAGAATCTTTAAAGAGATAATTAAGGTCAGGTGAGGTGGGCCCTAACCAATATGACTGGTGTCCATAAGAGAAGAGGGACAAGCATGTAAAGACACAAGGAGAACAGGGTCACCTACAAGCCAAGGACAGAGGCCTCAGAAGGCACCAACCCTGCCAACACCTTGATCTTGGACTTCTGGCCTCCAGAACCATGAGAAAGTAAATTTCCATCGTTTAAGAAACCTAGTCTGTGGCACTATGGCACTGTAGCCCTAGCCAGGAAGACACTGTACTGTATAGAAAACCAAGTGGAAGGGTCTACCCCAGCCTGATAACAGCAGTTACCTATGGAGAGAGTTTGGGATTAAGCATAGTAGTTGAAGGAAAATTTAGCCTTAAAAATAAGGTTTTACTTTTTACAATAAGAAAGCACTCATATATTACTTGTATATCAATTTTTTAAAAATCTTCTTCTATGGCAGAGTATACAATGTACTTCACCACCTGGACGCAACAATCTCTGGAACTTTAGACGTGTCCACCATCATCCCCCAACTCCTGCACACCTACCTGCCACACTACAACGTCCCATCTCTCTCATGCCTCCAAGCCTCTGACTGTCTCCCTCTGCTTGGAACGTCTTCCCCCGCTTTCTTAAGCCTGGGCTGGTCATTTTCATCCTTCAGAGCTCAGCTCGAATGTCACCACTTTAAAAATAGGTTCCTGGAAGTCATATTAGGCAGGTCTTCCCCAGGGCCATTTCTCCATTCTTTTGATGTCTTAATCTTGTCCATACTCCCAGTGTCTGATCAGTGTCTGCAACCAACTAAATGCTCAATAAATGGTCCCAAATACATGGATGTAGGGACGTTTTCTAGCAGGTTGCTTTTCTATCCACTCTGTCTGAAAGGCCCAACATCTCAGTCCATGTGTATTAATAACAGACTCCTTAGAGACTCAGGCTGTAATCATGTCATAAGTGAGGTCCTAGCCTTTTGAAGTTTTTTTTTTTTTTTTACAACAGAACAACAATATTTCTGGGTCATCCAAGCCCCATTTGCTTCATTTTTTATGAAATCAGCTAAGAATGTATTTATTGCAATTTTTTTAAGTTCTGTGCCCATCAAGGCTTTCAATTTCTTAACCCACAATAGGCCCAAATCAAAAATGCCCATCTACCTCTGACTGGGAGCCTCTGATAAACCAGGCCTTACCTCTTCATCGGCTTGGGTGAGCACTCCCTCTCCAGGTTGGAGGATGTGTGTTTCACGTGCATCGCATTGTAGGAAGTGTGAGTATAGTCATTTTCATCGCTGTAGTCAGGACCGAGTAATGTCCGCGCCCAAGTTCCCATGTCATAGGGAGGAAGGGTTCCTCCAAATTCCGAGGGCAAAAATTCAGGGTGTATTAGCTGGTGAAGGCTGTTTAAATTGTTCCCATGCAGGAAAATCTGGGAAGAAAAAAATAATTAGCAATTAAAAAATCCAAAACATATGACCGAGCATTTAAGCTAATACACCAATGACAAATTGGATGTGCTGCTGTTGATTACGGCATTTAAGGAGGCACTCAGTTTTGTGTCTATGGCTTTGTCTTTATGAAATGTTAATTTATTGCTCAGAAAAGGGGCCGATTTAATAGTCCTTAAAAATGAAGTTCATGAACAAATTGGGTATTATTTGGCCATGGCCCCAAATTTACAGAGACAGCCATCCCTAATTATTCCTACTGAGGAGAAGAGCAGTGAAGCAGACTACCCACGCCCCCACCATGCTTCCACACACCTCCACATCGCTCTCTTCGCTCCCCTGGAGCATTCTCCACCCTCTGTGCCTCCTCAACGCTCCCCATTATTCCCAGGCCCACAACAAGCGGCAGCTTCTTCCCAAGTCTGTCCCAGTGACACCTGCCTACTCTAGTTCTCCAACTTCCTGCCCCCAATTAAATCCTTATTAGCTGCTAACTTCTATTTTTTGGTGATTTGTTCATTTATGTCTTGCTGGACAAAAAGAACAGAAAGATGCACAGAGAAAAAGATGGTGTTTTCTTACTCTTCTAATCTGCTCCTAGCTCCCAGGGTCATGTGGGCACAAGGTAAAAGTTCAATCAATTCTCAGTGAATGAAATTGACAACTATGGCCTGGGAATTTATCGTGGAATATTATTGCAGCCATTTCCTATTCGGATCTGGACTGAGGGCTAATCGCCAAGCAGGTTTGCACCTTCTAAACACACAATGGATGGTGATGGAAATTGGTCAAGCAGGGGAGAAAACAGCCCCAAATTATAAGTATTTTTATGCCAATGCACAATGTGGATAGATAAGACACAGGCTGATAACTACCACTGCCTGCAATTTAGGAATTGACTCCTGGAAGTGCATTTAAAGTACACCTGTGTAATGACATTAATTTCCACACTTCTTCATGTTGCAGGCTCAATACACATAAGCATAGGACCATCACACATGTACACACACACACCCAGTTAATCATTATGGAATGTACATGTGATTTTCAAAATATGTAAATACAGTGTCATAACATGCCATATAAGTACTATATTGTACTATATTAACAATATACTATATTACGGGATACCACATTAGTATATAATAAACACTTATTATCTTGTTCTGTTGTATTGGTTTTAACTTAAGATGTAATGGCATCATTTAAAGAAGAAAGGGACAAGAAGCTAAGTGCTAAAATTCTTCAGAAGAAAACTGTACATTTTCTGACATTGGATTGGGTATGACCAAATTTTAATAACAATTATTTCTTTTGAAGAAATTCACATGTTCTGGCTTTTGAAAAACACCTCACAGGAGGAACTGTAGTATTTGAAATGTAGAAGAGTTGGACCTAAATACCAGCCTGCTATTAAGAGCAAAAATTTGTATCTACCTACTCAATGCCTTTGGTTCTTCGAAGGACAAGGAGAGCTTTGGAAACTGGCCCTTTCCTGGGAGTTCCATGGGATGGAGAAGCTCAATGGGTAGGACATTGGTTGTTCTACCTGTACAATTCTGTTCTGCACCCGGAGCTCCAGAAACTCCCTTCTATGACATAGCACCAAATGTTGATTGCTTGGTGGGAGGAATTCTTGCTGGCTCCTTCCTGAGTACAAGATGAAGCCAGTGGGAAACCTGAAGCTATGTTGGAAAGAGTCTAGAGCACGTCTCTGTTCTTAGCACTGTCCTGAGCCCTGGACAGACTCCAAAATGTCCTAGAATGTCTCTGCCTTCTGAGGCTGACTAGTCCTAATTCCCAATTCCACATTTGTTTAGTGCCAGCAGAATGACTCCTCCTGTACCCTATTGCAGTGTTCCTAAGGACCTGGAAGCATCTGAGGTCAAGGAGTTAGGAACCCTGAAGAGTGTGTGTGTGTGTGTGTGTGTGTGTGTGTGTGTGTGCACTTGCGCGCGTGCACACGCCATGTGGCAGGGGGGTTCCCCTCACATCATCAATCCCCCACAATACTCAGAGCTCCTCCCTAGCATGGGGGCCTCAGGCAGAGGAGCACATTTAAGATGCTGTAAGAATGCCCCTGGCCAGGTACCCTTCCAAGGTGTTGCTCTTGACCCAAGAAAGTAGCTGACATCAGAAAGCTTGAAAGAAAAGGGAGATAAATGGTAAAAAGAAATCACAGCCACCAAGTCTCTCCTACATGAGTGGCATTCTTCTACCTGTTTTCATGTGCTGTCACATCTAATTGCCCCAGCAGTTCTGTAATGTGGGCACTAGTATAAATTCCCCATTTTATAAATGAGGAAATAGATTCAGAGCGGTCAGTGAATATTCAGTTTCTCAATGAATCAAAAAGCCATAAACAAGACCAGCTTTTCAAATGTCATCAGCTGATACAATCAAGATTTTAAAAGCCTTCTTCATTATTATTTCTAATGAATGTTTCCCCAACCTCAAAGATGATAGATTTGGCAACTATGACCCAAGTGTCCTGGGGAAAAATAAACCATAAATATTTTTCATTATGATATTACATTTGTAGAACAAAATGCTGGCTATTAAAATATTCCAATAACAGGAAGCTGTTTGACCTCATCGCTCCCACAATCATTTGCAGTAAAATGGGCATCTGGTGTTTGCAAGCCTTCATAGTTTCCTTCGGTTTGTCGCTGGGACTCTGAAAATAACCCAGTTCTACTAAATTATTGATTGAATCCAGGCCATTTGCAAACTCCAGCTGAGGCTTAAATGCTCAAGGACTGTAGAAAAGCAGAAAAACCACATAGAAAAATGAGGAGAGAAGGAGAGAGTGAGAGATTGAGGGGAGGGACATTGTAATTCCCCCACTCATCCTGCATTCCTAGCAAGCATTGGGCATTTCTTTTCCTTACCCGCTTCCTGGTCTTGTCCTTAAGAAATGGCTTGATGAGCGTGTACAAGGCATGAATGTACCAGGGCTGGTTGACAAAGTGGACTCCTCCAAAGCGGGCAGGAAAGCTGTCCTGGGGTGGAAAGAGAAACACAGGCCAGTTAGCAGGCACTTGGGGTTGGGCTGGGCCAGCAGAGCTGCAATCCTGAGAACAACCTGTGTCCTCTCTCTGAAGCTCTAGCTGAGGGTGGGGAAAGACAGCAAACCCACTGCTCCTATCTGTTGAGGTTTCCTCTATTCTCCTTGCCCACGCCCCTACCCTGTTGACCCCACAACTTAAAAATCCTGCATGGGTGCCAGGACTATCTTTTCCAAGTCACAATTATGTTACCACCCACGTGGCAAGAGTGAATACAGCCTAGAAGGGAGGGTGTCAGGATTCTTTGTGGTGTTAGGGAACCCAGGCTTCAGCTCCCAGGAGCCCTAACCATAAGATCTCCCTTTTTAACTGTCCTCTGCTCGCCTGCTCCAACCCTCCCTATGGATTACCATGACAATGGCTGTACTTCCTAGGTGACTGAGGGCTCTGTAGAAAGGGGCTGGGAAAGAATTTCAAAGATCTCTGGAACCTGCATTACCCATACTAGCACCCTTTCACAGAATTGGGTCCTCACTTCATCCTGTAACCTGCATAGTGGAACCCAGAGAAAAGATACTTGTTGATTGATGAGCTAGTTAATTCTCCTAATAGAGGTCCTCTTTTCTGCAGATAACACATTTTGTAAGTATCAGGAAATAAGAGCATTTTGAAAATGGTTCCAATTTTGGAATACAGATTAAGGCACAAGCTTGTGTTTTAGAAGCTGAGAAGTTGCTCTCCGTGCTAATTAGATTCACAGGATAAGGGACCTTGTTCATAAAGTCTGAGCTACTCCCACCATACCAAGTCTTGGGGTCCCAATGAGGGGCTTCCCCAGACAGCATTGCACTCATCTTGGTTAATAGAATTTAAAAAAAAAGGAACGAGACTTCTGGCCAAGATGAAGGCATAGGTAGACACACTGTGCCTCCTCGCACAACCAAGATAGGGACAACAGCAATTTAGAAATAGAATAACAACCAGAATTGACAGAAAATTGAACTGTATGGAAGTCGGACAACCAAGAAGTTAAAATAGACATGTTCATCCAGACCGATAGGAGGGGTGGAGTCGGGCAGCCGGGTGCCAGTCGTGGCACGGAGAGCAGAGCGCATTGGGACTGGGTGTGTGAGGCATCTGGGGTGCACAAGACCATAGCAGGCAGACCCTGGGTGCACAAGCAGCAGCTGGCAGACCCCAGCCAAGGGGCGGCAACTGGCAGACCCAGCGATGTAGCGACTGTGAAGCAAGGCACTGCAAGAAACCCAGGATCCCAGCACCAGGAAATAGAGCCTTGGGGCACTGATTGAAAACACCTATGGGGTTTGAGGAGCAGGGAGAGACTCCCAGCCTCACAAGAGAAGTCGTTGGAAAGTCCCATGGGGTGCACAAGCCCACTCACATAGGAATTGGCACCAGACAGGCCCAGTTTGCTTGGGGTAAGCAGTGGAAAGGACTGAGGTCCAACTGAGAGCGAAGCAAGTGCCATTGTTCCCTCTCTTACCCTGCCCCCACATACAGCATCACAACCCAGTGACTGGGTTGCCCCACCTTGGTGAACACTTAAGGCTCCACCCCTCATGCGTAACAGGTGTGACCAGACCAAAGGGGGAAAAAAAACAATGGCTCAAACAGAAGAACAAATGAAGCCACAGAACCAGTACTTTTAAGCAACCAAGAGATAGCCAATCTATCAGATGCACAGTTCAAAGCACTGGTGATCAGCATGCTCACAGAATTGGTTGATTTTGGTCACAAATTAGATGAAAAAAATAAAAGCTACAATAAGTGAAATGAAGAAAAATGCACAGGGAACCAATAGTGATGGAATGAAAGCTGGGTCTCACATCAATGGAATGGACCAGAAGGAAGAAAGAAACAACCACACAGATCTTTCACAGATCTTCCACACCAAGACCTGGTTTTCAGTAAGAACTGTGCTGAAGGGTTGAAATTTGAAAAACTTAAAAGAAACTTTGTCTCTATCTAATCATTTTACAGAGTACAAAGAAATTAAATATTTTTAAGTCCACACAAGACAATTTCAATAAAGGCCTTTGTTTTGCATTTATGTTTGTTTGTTTTGTTTCTTTTATTTAAAAAAAATCTTAATGAAACCACCAAGAGTAAAGAGACCATTCATACTAATTTGTGCATTTGTCAGAATCTCTCACCATTCCAAATATGAATTGAGAAATACAAAAGTTCTTAATAAGGTAGTCTCTTCTCTTTTGGGGACAATTTGGGATCTAAAAATTCTTTTGGCTAAAAAAAAAGCCATTCCCCAAAGTTTTTCCTTTGGGGTAAGTGAGTGCTAGGCTTTAGCCTTATTCGATTTGGTCCTTTGGAACTTGTTATTCAGAAGTATAATTCATTATCCCACACACTAAACATGGGTTCTGAGGAGCTATAGAAGAGGAACAAGAAGAAATGGTTTATCTATAAATCCTGGATTTTACAGTCTTTTTTAATAGGACCAATAAGATTTTTATTTCTGCTAAGAGTCTATTGTATTATACATTTCTAGGTCAGTACAGTGGAAGAAAACTCTATAAGTAATACTCAAGAAGCAATAGGCAAAAATCTCTAAGAAAATATTAATTTTTAAAAAATATCTAGAGGCCCTTGGTTTTAGTTTATGGAACATCAGTCATCAAAGACATCAAAACTGTCTTCTATTGGTGCCAGAGGATGTTAAAAGGTAAAATATAGGCCTGAGATCCTGTCAGTTCTCTCTAGGCTGGTCTTGGCTTCAAGTCCACCAGCTCAGAGACCCACTGGGTTTTTAGCGATCTCCTTCAGGTCAGCCAGCAGTTATGTGCAGACACATTCATGGAAAATCTTATGCCTCAGACTTCTGGGTTTGGGCCAGAGTAGAAACAGGATCACTTTCCTTCAAGTTTTAGCTATAAAACTCAAATGAAAAGCCTTCTGTGAAATAAAGGCAATGTGCAAATATTCTGGGTATTCTCAAATGAGCCTGACCATATTATTAATAATAATGATGCTTGTGCATATATGTGTGTGTTATGCAAAGAGAAAGGTGAGGAAGGGAAAATGAGCGAAAACAATCCCTATTCCCATCATTGTTGGTCATGTAGCCTGGGCTTGTAATAGGGTACAGCCAAGAGGGGAGCCTCAAATAGGGATCTGTAATAAGATCCAGAAGAGCCTGGAGATAATTGGCTCCACACCACAGGGCCACAGCTGCCCAGAATCTGGCAGCTGTAGCCAATTGTGAGAGGAGCCAGAAATGGGGCTTCAGAGGAAGATTGGTGCTAGGATTTAAACCAAGATGTGGCAGCCATTTGAGGAGGGGGAGAACCATCCGTGGCCCTGAGAGAGACAGAACCATGCAGCTGTGGAAGTGCAGAGAGGATCACAGCTATTGAAGAGAGAACCACGCGGCTCTGGCAGAGTGGGGACTCCCATGGCCCAGGGAGAGAGGACCACGAGCCTTTGCCAGAGTAGGGACCCCCGCAGCTTTAGGAGATATGGTACTCTGGACTGGGAAAAGGGGGAAGGAAGGAAGGACTGTGTCTATTTGTGGGTGCTTTAAGGGACTTTAGGATTTTTGGTGAAGACATTAGGTCCCTACTTTAAGTTTGTATAGCATTAAATAAATTTCCTTTTCACAGATCTCTGACATTGAGAGACGTCTTTCCTCTGGTGGTGGACATAACAGACCTGGGGGCTTCTTTCAGTAATAGTATATTGCCTCAGGCCCCCCTTGTTTGTTCTGTAACAGGCTCAATAGCAAAGTTCAGTAAAGGAGACATTGTCTGTCACACAAATGTCTCTCAGGACCCCAAGAGGTCCCCCACCCTCAAGGAGGTGCCTTTCTTAAGGGTTGGAGCAGACCTTGCTCCAGACAGTAAGCCTTGATTCAATGGCTGTATGATGCTTTGCTGTCTTGTGTTCTTAGCAACTAAAGAGTATGCACTGAAAACACAACGTGGGTTTCACAAAATGGTATTAATATTCATTATTTCATGCATTTATCAATACAACTATAGTATCATTTCAAATTATAAATGTTCAAAGTATAAAACTTGTTTTCCTTCTAGTTTAAATTACTTTTTCTTGTTACAAAAATAACCCACTCTAAAAATTAGATTAAAATGTTATTTGAAAAAAATTAAAAAATATAAAAAGACAATAAGAAGGAAAGAAAAATTTTGCGGATTCTCACTGTTAAAGACATACTCCTGCTATTTGCTCTCAAACTATTTGCTCTCATTCAGGAAGGGCTATATTACACTATGGTAACATACAACCCCTGCTTTTCACTATTTAAAACAATTGGGCTTTATTTCTCACTCACATAAAATGTCCAGTTTAAAATTTTAAAAAATCATTATTTATACCAAGAACTTGGAAGACCTCAACCGGAATGAAACAACTAATAGGGATCCACACCAAATGACAGGGATATTAGAATTCACAAATATTTTACATTAACAAATGATTATAAACACACATGAAAAAAGTAGAAAAATCTCAGCAAAGAGATACTCTTAGCAAAGAAATATAAAATATAAAGAAATGCACAATAAAATTTTGAACCAAAAAGTACTTTATTATAACAACAAAAAAGTTCAGCAGTGGGCTCAACACTAGGGTGGACAGGACAGAAGAAAAAGTCAGTGACCTGAAAGATACAATAGAAATTATTCTAAGTGAACAAAGAGCAAATATGCCTGAAAACAATGAGTGGAGTCTTGGGGACCTGTTGGGCTTACAACAAAGATCTGACATTTGTGACGTCAGGGCTCGGAAAGAGAGGAGAAAGAGAGCAGGACTGGGAACCACCAAGAAATAATGTCTTTAAACTTCCAAAATATAGCAAGAAACTTAAACCTACAGTTTGTAGCAGCTATGTAAACACCAAAGAGCAGAACCTCAAGTAAATTGATGCCAAGACACGTCATAACTATATATTTGAAAACTAAAGGCAAAATATTGACTGCAGCCAAACGAGAAAAAATTATCTT